CCTGTGCCCGATTTCAAGCTCGCCCGTTCACTTCAACCAGCAGAGCCTTGGCCTCTGGTTCTCACCAGTGTTCATGACGATGGTCTATCTGTGGGTGCCCTTGTTCCTTTGCAGTGCTATTTCTAGATAGATTTGGAAATCAAATTGGGTCAGGGCGTGCACATTTTAATTTTGACACGATAGGGCTTGAGTACCCTGAAAAGAATTAAAAAAATCAAACCAATATAGGAAAACAAAGTGAAAGTTCCATAGATAGACTCTCTCTAAAAAGCTCATGTCCCCACACCCATGGCAACACCGAATTGAGACCATAGGCTGACAGCCCCCTGTTTCCCGAGGATAGCAGGATGGCTGACCCCATCTTAGTGGCAGCGGTGTCCTGGGGGCAGCCCCGTGTGGACAGATCCTGGGGGTCCATGAAGGGAAGAGGAGGCGCTGCTGCGCTGCAGGTAAAAAGTAGCTCAAGTTGAAAAGGGACATGTAAGAATTACCACGCCAAGAGGAGCCTATTCCGGGCTGCTGCCGCTCCGCGGGCACGGCCTCGCTGCTCCCGCCGCACACAGGCTGGGCGCCCGGTCGGAGGGGAGCGCACAGAGCTGCTCAGCTGTCGGGCAGAGTGGGCCATTCGTGCCTGCACCACCCCGTTCCGAGAAGCGCTCTCAGCAAGGCGCCCCGCTGCCTGTGCTCCGCACGCTCTGCTGCCTGTGCTGGACCTCTGACTCACAATTCTGAGATGTGAATTAGCATACCAGCTGTACGGGGCTGCCACACACGTCTGCATTAGGGCCCATCGAGCAACGCTCTTCCATTTAGAGCAGGCCCTCCTCTCTCCTCTGTCTCTGTTCTCTACCTCCTCCCGTCTCTCATGTCTCATGTTAACATGCAGACTCCCCAAAATAACACACACACACAAATCATAACTTACTGACTCCATCATGGCTTACTGCTCCCATAATGACTTCTGCCCCCATCATAATGGCTTACTGCCCCCCATCCTAATAACTTACTGCCCCCCATCCTAATAACTTACTGCCCCCCATCCTAATGACCTACTGCCCCCATCATACTGGCTTACTGCCCCATCATATGACTTACTGCCCCATCATATGACTTACTGCCCCATCATATGACTTACTGCCCCCATCATATGACTTACTGCCCCATCATATGACTTACTGCCCCATCATATGACTTACTGCCCCCATCATATGACTTACTGCCCCATCATATGACTTACTGCCCCATCATATGACTTACTGCCCCCATCATATGACTTACTGCCCCATCATATGACTTTCTGTCCCATCACAATGACTTACTGCCCCATCATATGACTTACTGCCCCCATCATATGACTTACTGCCCCATCATATGACTTACTGCCCCATCATATGACTTACTGCCCCCATCATATGACTTACTGCCCCATCATATGACTTACTGCCCCATCATATGACTTACTGCCCCCATCATATGACTTACTGCCCCATCATATGACTTTCTGTCCCATCACAATGACTTACTGCCCCATCATATGACTTACTGCCCCATCATATGACTTACTGCCCCCATCATATGACTTACTTCCCCCTCATATGACTTTCTGTCCCATCACAATGACTTACTGCCCCATCACAATGACTTACTGTTCCCTCTCCCCACTCCATCTAATCATTGGGCCTATAGGACCTGCTGTGTTCGCAGTGGCTCTTGAGCCCATGAATCAAAGTGCACCCTGTTTTTGCAGGCACACTAGGGACTGGAGTTGGTCAGAGTGAGAGGACTTGCATCCTGAAATCAATAAACACCACTCATCGGAACCTCCACTCTTCTCCTGAAAGCTTCTTGCCAGCTCATGAGTGCATGGGCTGCCTCCTAGAGCTCACATGTGTGGGCAGCACCCAAGGCCAAGGAGCAGGAGAGGGCCAGAGACCCCTGCAGACCGGGCACGCAGAGGGAGTGAAGCTCTGCAGGGAGCCGTCCTCAGGGGCTGTGTCCGCAGCAAGCCCTCGCCCATGGCACACAGCCCCAAGAGGAAGAGGCCGAGATGCAGCCCCAGGCACACGGACAGAGAACCTGGAGAGCGTTGGTCTGCGGATGGGGAGGGAGTCCAGCATAAACTGTGATGGGTCTCCCATGTGAAAATGGCAAGGAATGAAGTAAGGGAGGTTAGGGAGGGAAGATGGAAATTATGAACTTAAGAGACGTTAGATTGTGGCTGTACTAAAAAAGTAGCTGGACTACATGGCTTTTTTATTTTTAGGCTCACCATAATTTGTAAAATAGGGCACCAATCGATGGATTGGTAGCTTCAGTCATTATCCAACCAGAAACTTATTGAGCATTGACAAAATGTGCTTGGACTGCTCTAGCTAATTTGGCTCAGTGGATAGAGCATCAGCTTATAGACTGAAAGGTCCAGGGTTCGATTCTGGTCAAGGGCACATGCCAGGGTTGTGGGCTCAATCCCCAATAGGGGACATTCAGGAGGAAGCTGATAAATGATTCTCTCTCATCATTGATGTTTCCATCTCTCTCTCCCTCTCCCTTCCTCTCTAAAAACAACAAAAAAAATATTTTTTAAAAAATGTGCTCCGTCTGTGGAATTGACATATGAGACAAGACTAAAAAATTACTGCCTATAAGAAGCTAAACATTAATGCAATCATGTCGGAATCTTATATAATAAAGAGGTAATATGCAATTGTCCATCACTCCAACACACAAGAAGGTTGCCCCCATGTGGTCAAAGATGGCCTCCCCCATGTGAACACAAGACAGCCGCCATAAGATGGCCAGCAGGGGAGGGCAGTTGGGGGGAACCAGGCCTGCTGGGAAGGGCAGACATGAGCAACCAAGTCTGCAGAAGGGCAGTTGGGGACAACTAGGCTAGCGAGGGGAGCATGTGAGGGGTGACCAGACTGGCAGGGGGGCAGTTAGGGGCAACCAGGTTGGCAGAGGAGGGCGTTTGGGGGTGAACAGGCTGACGGGGAGCAGTGAGGAGTGACCATGCTGGCAGGAGGGGGCAGTTAGGGATGTCCAGGCTGGTGGGAGGGCAGTCAGGGATATCCAGGCTTGTGGGAGGGCAGTTGGGGTGACCAGATCAGCAGGGGAGCAGTTAGGGGTGATCAGGCTAGCAGGAATCCAGTTAGGAGCAGTCAGGCAGGTGAGCAGTTAGGAGCCAGCGGTCCTGGATTGTGAGAGGGATGTCTGACTGCTGATTTAGACCTGATCCCCAGGTGTCCCAGATTGAAGAGGGTGCAGACTGGGATGAGGGACCCCCCTATCCCCCATGCACGGATTTTGTGTACCAGGCCTAGTAATCAGATAATTATACACTGCGGTTTACAGACCCAGCACAGCATGTGCAAAGGTCCTGAGTGCAAGGCAGCAGTGAGTAGGAAGGCAAGAACTCACAGAGTGCCAAGGCTGCGGTGCTGAAGAGGTCATGGCCCCTCATTGGGTTTCTGGGTCTTGCTGATAGAGCAACAGGAAGCCACCAAAGGTGTGAGGACAGGTAGGTATGTGCTGTTTGAGGACCACTGGCCAGAACGCTGTGTGTGTGTGTGTGTGTGTGTGTGTGTGTGAGCGAGCCTGCTGCTGGGAGGTCCTGTCAGGAAGGAATGGACAGCGTGATTGACCTGACTAAGCTTCCCTGCCCTCTGTCTTCCCGACTCTGCTGTTCCCTGCTTCCTGAGCTTGGGACGTGGGCATACTGGCACCTGTTTGCACACTGACTTTCTGATTTATTTTCATAAATGCAAATGAAAATACTTACGTGCTCCATAAAGACCGGGCATGTTTAAGTAACCCTTATCCTGTCAGTGAATTCCAGGGGTGCTGGGCTCATTATTCTCCGGGAGAGAATAGGCATTAAACCCTCAGGGAGTCATTAAGAGATGGCTCTTTCTCTCCGTTTGACCGGAGCGGCAGTTGTAATGTATTTATTCAGGATTTAGAAAATGGAATTCAATTCCAAGTGAAAGCCTGTTCAATTAAGTAATTCCTATTGTATCTTTAGGACAGACGGGCTGACCTGACCGGAGTCCCTGTGCTGGCTAGCAGATGTCACTACCAGGGCAGGCGCTGCTCAACCCCTTAACTGCCCACTTAATCCTGGTGGTGGCATGGAAGGACCAGGTCTGCTGACACCACTGATGCCTTCATGGAATGTCTCCATCCGAGCTGGGTGGGAGGACCCACCGTGGCCTCCGTGCTCTGAGGCACAGTGCCGAGGAGGGGCTGGCTCCCTTTGACACCAGGTGCGGGGGGAGGTAGAGCAGGTGGGAGGGGTCGGCCATCCCCTCTGTGGTCTCTTCTTCTCGGCCCAGAGCCCGAGGTTTCCTGAGGAGACCAGGAGACTTGAAGTCCCTGGGAAAGGCGCGATCTGACGGCTCATGTGCTCTCAGGCCTCGAGGGGCTGCTTCACCGGAGCGCCTCAAGGTTGCTGACCAGAGGACAGACTGTCCCAGCCATTGGGACAGCAAAGTGAAAAGGAGCAGCGATTTAAAAACACAGAGACACCGAGGAGAAAGCACACGTAGCTTTCAGGTTCGGCTGACCGGGCGGTTCCTGCGTTTGTGCACGGCCGGGCAGGCGGTGCGTATATAGGTACTTTGTTGGGACAAACGTCCACAGGCGGCACCTGCGTGGCTCTCACGACACTCTCAGGCCCACATGCAATTTGAAAGTCGACCGAGCACTCTGTGCAGGACTTGAGATGGCGGCCACAGGGCTCTGTCTTCTTCCCCGGGCCGCCGGGTTGTGGGGGCCCAGAGCCCAGAGCGTGATGTCACTTCCAGCCGCAGGAAACGCCTGTGTGGGAGACAGATTGCTCACAGGAGGGAAGGAAGGACGCAGGGCTCGGAGCAAGTGATTCAGAGGTGGCGCTGACATCCAGACGGGAACTGAGGCAGATGCTGGGACACGCGGAGCCCTTGACGAGCAGCAGCCTCGCGAGCTTCGGCACTCGAAGGACGGAGGCAGGTGTGCAGCTCGCAATGTCCCTGCTCCAGAGCTGGCTCACGTACGGTAAACACGTGGACACCGTCATCTCTTCGGAGGGCTGGAAGCAGGTGGTAGGTCTTCTTGAAGACAACAGAGGGGCTGTGAGAGCTTGGGGAGTGGCCTCGGAGCGCTTGGCTCAGCAGGGTGCTGCTTGCCTGAACATGGGTGCAGCTCTTTGCTGATGCGAGAAAACTCCGGAGTTCACATGGAGGGTTATTCCCCTCCAACACGCTGAGGAAGCACAACCCGCACATGGGCTTCGCTGCTGTGACTAATACAGGTTCTCACTTTGCACTTCAAGCAACTTCTGAAAAGCCTGGAGAGGTGCAGGCAGTGCTCCCCCTGGAAGAATGAGGTCATCAGTGGGAAATGAGCGGGAACCCCAAAGGGGTCCCCAGTTCCTGCCGACTGATGGGGAGCTGTTGGGATCCTGTGCAGACTATGATGTGCCATGCCGGGGCGGCGGCTGCTTGCCTGGGTGCGTGTATGGCGAGTTTGTGGGTTTGGGGCTTGCTTCTCTCTGTGTTAGTACATACAACGGGGCCATTCAAGGGAGTGCGCATGCCGTTTAAGAGACATGGCGTCTGGCTTGAATCCCAAACAGGAAACCCAGCTCATTCTAGTCTCCAAGTTTCCTACAAGCCCAGGCCCTCTGCTGCGAGCAGAGCACGCCCCAGCGCCCAGGGTCCCCTCTCGCTCTCATTATCTGGTGCCCTTTGTGCTCCCATTAATGGACTGTAGTTTGTGCCAAAGAAACTCCCAGCAACTCTAGCAGAGGTTCCGCCCGCTCGCTGGCGCCTGAAATGGGCTCGGGTCACGCTGACACTGCTAAGCGGCAGCTGACAGGCCTGTGGCTGCGCTGCTGGGCCTCCGGCAGCACCGAGAGACAGTGCTCGCACTGCGTCCGGGTGAAGTCTCGGCCCAGAGACTGTCTCCACTTGCCAGGTTTCCTTCCGAGGGCTGGCCCGGAGGCTTGATTGGTTGGAACGTCCTCTCACACACCAAAAGGTTGTGGGTTTGATTCCTGGTCAGGGCAACACTTAGGTTGTGGGTTTCATCCTCAGTCGGGGCACATGTGGAGGCAACCGTTCCATGTTTCTCTCTCACATCAATGTTTCTTTCTCTCTCTTCCCCCCTTCCTCTCTCTTAAATCAACAAACATCCTCAGGTGAGGATTAATAATCTACACTAATAAAAGAGAAACAAATTGACCATCATGCCACCATGCCCACCAGCCAATCAGGAGGGAGTATGAAAATGAGAAGGACAAAGATGGCAGTTTCCCAGCTGCTGAGTGGCTGGGTGGGTAGGATGAGAGGGAGGGCGGGAGGCAAAGGGACTATAGGAGCGGCACTCTAGCTGCAGCGAAGACAAGATGACAGACTACGGCTGGAACCTGCAGTGAAGACAAAGAAGGCAGACTCTGGCCACAGACTCCTGCCAGAGTGCAGGCCTGGGTCCCGGGTGCCAGAGGAAAACCAGTTCTGGAAGCCAAGGGAAGGAATCTCTTTGTGCATCGGGCCTTTAGTCTATAAAAAAGCTGAAATGACTGTCCAACTATTTGACCATCCAACTGGGAGCTATGATGTCTACTTACCACCAGGGGGCAGATGCTCAAGGCAGGAGCTGCTGAACTGTGGTAACTCGGCAGCTGGGTTCTCGGGTGATGCACCAGGAACCAGAGAGGAGGGAGCCCTGTTCCAGGGTGCATCACCTGCGAACTGCCCTCTTGCAATCCAGGACCCCTCCGGGGATGGTGGAGAGCCAGCTTAGGGCTCCTCCCACAGGCCAGGCCGAGGGACCCCACCGGTGTGAATCCGTGCACAGGGCCTTTGGTAGCAATAATACAAAATATTTCCCTCCTCAGGAGTAGGAAAGGCAATAATAGCCAAGTATGTAAAGAAGATAAAAGTTGCAATTGGTGCTCCAGGTCTATACCCAGGGGACAGCTTGTTACCATGACCTTGGCCAGTCCAAGGTCACTCACTCACTCCTCCGTTGCTTTACCAACTATATGATTAGACAGTCAAGTGGAGGAGCCGGCGCTGTGTCCGGCTGCCCTTTTCACAGAAAATAAATGCCCCCCCCCCCAAAAAAAAAATCACAGCTTCCCAACCTCAGGGCCCCATGTCGCCCTGGGATTTACATTTAAAATGTTTCCATTACAACCCCCAGAGCATGGTTTCTGCAGAGCTCTTCTTCACACTGACCCACAGCAGCCCCGTTGCTGGAGAAAGCAGGTGGACTTGGTAATGAAAGGAGAGCAGAGAATAGAAGACAGAGACTTTCAAAACACCTTTCCCATTCAGGGGAGATGGCGATTCTGTCTACTTGGTTCAGGTGAAATTCCAGGCACATAGCAAGCATTTTAGAAGAATGAGACATTGATTTTCTCCCGGACGGCACGGAGCCCATGCACTCAGTCTTTATGTCATCTGCTCCGTGAGGTACAGAGAGCCAGCACCGAGGGTGAGCATGTGAGGGCCGGGCACCTGTCTCCTGGCCGAGCCCAGGGAGATGCCCGTCTAGCTGGCCTGTCGGGGGAGGACTGCTCACACATGGGCTCTCAACAGGGTCAAATGTGTAGACGAGTGTAACAGCGAATTGCAGAGCAGACAAACTCCCCTCTCCCCTCCCCGGGGCTCTAGCTAATTCTGAGCACACAGGAAGGTGCCCCAGTGCTGACAAATATTAATTTTCTATGAAAAACCAGGAATCCGGACTTCTAATGGGAAAGGTTCCAAGTCTTAAATATGAGCGGGTCAACTAAAAAGCAAAATGAAATCATAAGCCAAGCAAAGCGACCAGCAGGACACGCAGGCTGACGACCCCGGTCTGTGCTCCTGCTCGGTTCCCAACATCAGGTCGGACACCAATATTGCCTGGAACTCCACTTGTGACAGGTGGTTAGGCTGGGCGCCTGCTATGGACCTCAGCCTTATCCTCACCCAGTTCCCTGTGTTTATTAACACTCTGCTCACCCAGTGCACTGCTGGCTCCTGACCTGCTGTCACCCAAATTGTTATTATCAGCAGCCCAATTTGACAGGTCATCTCTGTCTTGCTCACATTATGATAGCACATACCCCCCCCACCCCCACCCCGCCCCGTTTCGCTGAATTTTATGCACACAAGCTTCAAATGCATTCACACTAAGCAATTTATATAATAGACTGATTGCTTACTGCCCTTTGCAACAATTGCATTTCAAATGTCTCATTCTTTTATTTACTGGTCCAGTCTGCACTCGCTACTTGATGCTAACATTACTTGACTTAACGTTCAATCAATAACTCTGAACTCTCCCACAAATGCCCTAATTTCCTGGCTTTAATTCCAACAGTCATTGGTATTAACTCCCCAATCTAGTGAGGTTACTGCTTCACGGCTCCCAGCGGTTGGGTGAGAGAGACCCATACGAAATGCAGAAGGTAATCAAGCTGGTGTTTTCCGGAGGTCTGTGGCTCTTCTCTCTCTGCTTCTCATTTCTAACCCTTCCATGCGAGCTATTTAATTTATGCACCCGAAAGTAGCCTCCTTTCAAATTCACCTGGGTCGTCATTAAAAAACCACCACACCACGTCCATCCGCACCTGAGTGTGTGCGAAGACCCCGCTCTGAGATGTGGGGGATTCAGGAAACATTGTAAATTTCCCAGGAAGATACATGCTAGGGCTGGGAGCAGGAGAGTGCCCGTGGCCATTGCTTTTTCTCGCAATTTATTTTACAAATAAAAGCTGTGCTCTCTGAGCTGGATATTAACGAGCAGGGTTTGCACTGGGCTGCGAGGTTGCTGGAGTCAGGGAGAAGCTGGCCGGCTGGAAATCGAGGGTGTGATTAAAACGTTTGGGCCCATATCCTCATCCTGCTCAGTGGCTATCTAATGAGGCCGAGGCTGCAGGCCTGGGCTTTGGGAACATGTTGAGGGGATGGCATGCCAGTCCTGTTAAATCGTGGTTCTGTATCTATTTTTTCACTCTTTTCCCCAAATGTAGCAAGCATGATGGTCTTGTTAAAATGGGGTACTTGCTTCTGAATTAAGTCCCAAAAACGAGACCGAGTCAGCACTGTGTCCTGAGACCACACCAATGTCCAGGTGTCCAGGGGCCGCAAAGCTGCTGGCTGCCATCCTCTGGCCACTGCTGCCCATGGGTGTCCTGTCGGTGCGAACCTCATGTCAGAGCTACTGTAAGACCAATTAGACGAATGAGTGAGTTAAACCCTTCAGGCTGTGGGTGGCACCCACTTTGCAAAGTAAGTCGAACTTCTCGTCCGGTGCCAGGGTCTGATGGGTGGGGAGACAAAAGCTCTGCTAGTTTCCGTGACTCTCATTGTTAAAGTCAGAAGCACATTTTGTTGTCGCAAAGGTGAGACGAGAACATCTGGCTTCGTGTGTAGTCCTCAGGCAACACCGTCGTCAGCAAGTCTTAATTAGAATATGCTCTTCTCTGAGCGGAATGAGGAGCAGGTAGCCTTGGGGAGAGCCCCATGACCCCCTTCCTGTATTTCTGATGGGGGCTCCTCAGGCAGGCCTGCCATGCCCTGTCACAAACTGAGCGAGGGGAGCAGTCACATGAGGCAGTGTCTTCCCTGGATCCGCTGCCCTGCCCGGCTCAGGCCGTCCATCTCCAGGAGAGAGGCTCCGGGCTGCTTCAGAGTGCGTGGCTCATGACGATCTCATACGTGTTCCAGTGCGTTACCCCAATATCAGTGTGTCACCTCCTCCCAAAGGAAACTATGCCAGCATGGCGGTCACACCAGTGCCCGGAGGCTGACCAATGTGGGCGGTCAGGGCGGTCCCAGCGAAGGGGCACTCGAGGGCCGCATGCGGGGGAGCCCCACGATGGCTGCGCTCACTTGCTTTGGGAGAATTTAATTCCCAGGGAGGAGAACACGTACTTTCTCTCCCCAGCTATGATTCTGAGATGCTCACTCCTCCACCACGGGCAGAGCGTTCCTGGGGCTCAGGGTCAATTGTGTCTCAAGAAACGCCGTCAGCATGAGAGGCAGCAATGCATGGAGATTCCTGCAGCACCACCCTCATCATGGGATGAGGACCAGCGAGAGCCGGG